AGGGGTCGCCGCCAGCCTGCGGATCAGGGCGTGGGGTGCGCCCGAGGCCCAGCGCCATGCGGAAGCTGCTGACCCGCAAGGCTGGGATCTTTGCAACCCGGTGGGCCCGGCTCTCCTCGCACAACCTCGGCCACTCACCTGAGGCCTTGAACGTGGCTGCCTTGAGGGTGGCGTACTTGGCGTAGTCCGGCTGCAGCGTCAGGCTCCCGCTGCTCTGCAGCCGCGGGCCGCGCGGGGGGCCCGGGGTCGCCGACCCCAGGGGCACGTGGGTGTGGCGTTTCTTGTCTAGAGCTGGGAGGGGGCAGATGAGACAGCCCGCTGACCAGGGACACACTACCCTCTCCCACAGCCTCTCCCAGCAGCAGTTCAGTTGGATGGCCATTTGGGCCAGACAAAGCGGAACCTGTCTTTGTGGCAGAATCTCCAGCGCCAGTAACAGGGTCTGGCTTATAGTAACATGCATAGCAGCCAGTCCTGAGTGGGTGCTGATCTCATGGGCGACTCGCCAGCATGTTCAGCTTGATCCAGGCAGAGCCCCCCAGACCTGTTCCTGGTGCCTGATGGCGATGGAGGGGGTGTCAGGATTAGAACTCACAGAGGGCGGGGGAAGGGGGGACCAGGGGTGCAGTCAAGCCCAACTCTACAGTCAGAGGCCAAGAGGGAAGCTTCAGCCTGGAGGGAAAGGCCTACAGGAGGCCCTAGACCAGTGGTTCTCAACCTTCTGGCCCTTTAAATACAGTTCCTCCTGTTGTGACCCAACCATAAAATTATTTTCGTTGCTACTTCATAACTGTAATGTTGCTACTGTTATGAATCGTCATGTAAATGTCTGATATGCAGGATGGTCTTAGGCGACCCCTATGAAAGGGTGGTTTGACCGCCAAAGGGGTCGCGACCCACAGGTTGAGAACCGCTGCCCTAGACCCTGGCCAGGCAGACCCCAGGGTGCTGAGCCTGGAACCACAGCGGAGCCAGGGATCCCTGAATCAATCCGGAACCTTCCTCACAGAGTCCTTGAGGCTGGAGGTTGCAGGACCCCTGGGGGTGGGGGTGGGGAAGGGGGTTCTCACCACCAAGGAGAGCTGACCAGTTTGCCCAGCCCCCACTCACACACCTGCAGAGGCCCCAGCTCATTTCCATTTGGAAGCAGCTTGCTCTGAGCCTTTTCCTCCCGGCACACCCTTCCCTGGCTCCCAGGCCCATGTAGGACAAGGGAGGCCTGCGCTGTACGTCATCACATGCCCGCCCACCAGCCTACTCACCTGTGCTGTTGTGGGGGGAGCCTCGGGGGAGGCCATCACCCATCTGCACCTGGACACAGCTGCCCAGAGGTGGGCCCAGAGGCGGGGGCAGTGGCTCCTGGGGGCCTGGCTGCTTCAGAAGTTCCGTCAGTGTCCTGTGAGGAGAGGATGGGGAGAAGCTTGCCAGGAGCACAGGCCTCCCAGCCTCCCATCGGCAAGGCCCTGCCTATCAAAGCCAGCCCCCACCACCACTGCCTCACCGTGCGGCTCTGGGCAGCTCTTTCAGCCTCTCTGGGCCTCCCTTCTCCCTGTGATTGACCTTACACTCTAGTTTCCACTGCCAGGCACCACCTGTGGCCCCACACGGCCACCTCACAGAGCAGGTCAGGACACTCTAGTGGGGCCATGTATGACCAGGGCCACCTTGTTTTCCAAGGCCTCCCTGCCCCCTTCCTGGAGTCCCCTCTCCAAAACCCTCCAAATGAGCCTCCAGTCCCAACACAAGTTCTGTGAGCCGATCAGTCTCCTGGACCTCGCTCCCCCGGCTGCTGCCGCCAACAATACCCTTTCCTCCATCTCCTCCCATAAAACCGCCCATTCTTCAAACCTGGCTGGAAGGCCTCTTCCAGGAAGCCTAAAGCCCGCCTACCTAACTCCCCTCCTGCGGCAGGGGCTTCTGCTGGGTCCTGGGACAGAGCTCCAGCACCGGCATGGAGAACAGCCAGAAGGGAAGGGCAGTCAGGAGGTGCCCCTGTGGCTGCCCAGCATCAAAGGCTGTGTGACCTTGGGCAGTGGCCTCCCTGGGCACCAGGACATCCAGCCCCACCCCAGCTGTGACAGCATCTAACTTAGCCTTCCCAGCAGACAGCCAGACCCAGCCTTCAGCCCAGCTGCTTCAGCGCCCGGAACCCATGATTTTCTCCTAACTCCGTCTGAGCCTCCTTCTGGGGTTGGGGCTCCAAGTGACTGGTTCGTGAAGAAGCACACGGGGGTGGGACACTGGGGCAGGGCAGTTTGGCTGCAGCGTGGCAGGTCTGAAAGCCCACGCCTACCTGAGCTGACCTTCATGCCCCGCCCACGCCTCAGCTGCCCACCCGTGCTCTCTCATCTCTTGACAAACACCCCTCAGCCAGCTCTCCCAGACACCTGAGCAATCCGCATGCCTTTAGGCCTTTGCACAAACTTTCTCTAGGGACAGCCTCCAGCTCCCCTCCCAGCCCTCTGCGAAACCTTTCCTACCAACCATCAGTCTCAACAGGCAGAATTACGGGTGAGACGTGGGGGCAGGCGTGGTGGGGAGGAGGGGGCAGAGCACAGGGATTCACAACACACCACCCATGAGCTCAAGTTGGGTTCCAGATCTCCCCAGAGGAGAAAAGCGAGTCAGGGCGCACGGGGGCTTGCTGCCCAAAGAGGAAAGGACTGCCCGGCCACAGCGCACATTAGGGCGGGGCCAGCTCTTCCTGAAGTTCCCGGACCTGCTTCCCGATGGAGGAGGTTCAAGGTGAACATGTCAGGAGGCTGCCCGGCCACCCCATCCATCCCATCTTAGCCCTCCGTTCCTGCTGCCCCCTCTGGTCAAGGGCATGCTCCATCTCTCCCCTCACCCAGCAGAGGGACTCCAAGCTCTGCCCCTGCATCATCCGGGACCCAGGTCGAGAGCCCCCACATCACAGAGGCAGCACAGACACGGAGGCCAGGGCCCCAGGCAGCCCCAGCTCTGCCCTGCAGCCATCTGGGAGGCATGGAGTCAATGGTCTGGCGACAGGGGGTCCAGTGGAGTGCGAGCAAAGCGCTCTCTGTCCCTGAGGCCTCGGAGAGGGAAGCATCCACAGCTGGCCCACCCAGGCATAGAGGCCTCTCTCTACTGTCACTTCTAAACACCAGCCTGTCACCTGCAGTGTCAGGAGCCTACGTGCCCAAGGGAGACAGGACCGGAGTGAGGAGGGCCAAGGACCAGGACAAGAGGGTGGCTGGGGGCGGGCGTGTGAGTGTGGGGTGTGCCGAGGGCTCCAGGCTCAGAATCCCCGAGGCCCTGAGTGAGGAAGGGACCTGGGACCTGCACATCCCACTTGACACAGAGCTCAGCACCCAGCCTGCACTTGTCTAGGCCTCCCACGCGGCCATCCCCTTTCTGCACCAGGGGACCCTCGCCTGTGGGTACTGAGTGGGGTGAGTTGGGGGGCCTTCTGAAACCCCAGGGAAGGTCAGGCCTGAGTCACAGTTATGGGAGGGCAGGGAAGGGGGTGGAAGGAGGGAGGGAGAAGTGAGGGGAGACACTGGAGAGCCAAGGAAGGTGCAGAACAGTCCTCCCCCTCCATTCCCTCGGGGCCCAAGACACCCAACAGGACAGGAGCCACGCCCCCACTCTGCTAATGGGGCTCCGACCCCAGACCTCCTCCCCTGGGCGCGGAAATGGTGCCCCCTGTCGGGCGACCGGCCTTCCCCGCCCACACGCGGGTGGCGGCCCAGCACCCAGCTCCGCCGGAAGGTCAAGGGGAGACAGGGCGGCATCAGCCGTCTCCCTCCGAGAAGTGCGGGGTGGAGGAAACAGAGAGAGACCGAGCCGGGGAGGGAGACCCGGAGGAAGAGGACCAGGGTTCGAGGGGGCCGCGAAGGATGGAGGGTGGCGAGGGGGCGCCCCCCGGGCA